GGAGCCGGCGGTGCCGCAGGGATGGACTGGCGGGCTGTGTAGGACGCGTCACCAGCGTGGGACGCTGTGGGTCTGCGGCCCCTGCCCTTCACCTGTGTGGGTGAGTACTTGGGAAACCACAGACTCTGGGAGGCCGTTTGTGCGAAGGGAAGGAGAGGCAGAGAGGGAGACGGGGTGTATGCGTCCGTGGCCGTGTGTGTGACTAGATCCGCGCGCGCGCGCGTGTGTGACTCTGGACCTTCCCGAGCGTGTAAGCAAGAGTGAGCTGTGTTTGTGTGTGTGTGACAAGACGTGTGTCTCGAGCTGTGTGAGTGGCAGTGCGCGTGAGGGTGCGCGGTGCTGTATGAAGGCAGCACTGGCGAGCGCCCTGCAGCTGCCATTCAGGAGAGAAGCAGCCTCCCTCCCCGAGGCTCGCCGCGCGGTGCGCGCCGCTGTGCCCTTAGCTGCCTTTGGAAGAAGTGGCTGTTGACAGAGGGGCCGCGGGCTGTCAGTGTCAGAAGTGAGGTCACGGCACGAGCTCCTCTGCCTAGAGCTCGATGTAAAGGGAAAAGTCTTGGCTTGGCTTCCCGTGTGACCCATGGAAACAAGAAAAAAAATGTTTCTTAGGATTCAGCTTTGGTATGGATCAAAGGTAGCTTTTGATGGCGTGACAGTGATTCAAATTTGCCTTCTCTGCCTTTGTGAGGCCTAGAAGTATCCTCTGAGCGGCAAAGCTATGGGTTGCCAGGCTTGTGGTGGTCGGCATTAGCCCGGTTCCCTGAGTGAAACTTGGGCATCAGTGACAGAGAAAGGAGAAGTAGCTGAGTGCCTCTGGGGAGTACAGCCTGGAAAAGAAAGGGCACCGGCGATAGATGTGGTGCTCTAGAAACAAGAAAAAAGTCAGACAGAGGACAAAACCCACAGAGTTCTAGGGAGCAGCTGCCATCTAGGAAACCTACGTGTGGGAGAAAAATTAGTAAAAAGTAAAGATGTCTTGCAACATTCTTAAGTCATTTTTAAATCTTATGCTTATTTTCCGCATGCATTCTTCTTACCTGTTGTGTTTGCATCGTTTCCCCTCTGGGAAATGTCTTTATTATCATTCTTACTATACTGTACACGGACAATCATTTAAACTCTGGAAAACTAGCACAGTGAAGCTATCAGCCACACCAGGAGTGTTTAGTTCAACTAGTACTGAGCAGATGGAGATGCTCAAGGAGACACGAGTGTCTCTGGTGCCTTCCCTTTGTATGGATTCTACTCTTCATTCTGTTCTGTCTAGGACCCAAGGTAGCCTCATAGCCAACAAATCAAATGTTTCTTCATTCGTCTTTGTACACCGGGACCCTCGGTTCTGTCCCTCCTCTCATTTCCTTCAACTTCGCAGACTAAAGGACACTTACTTGAAATTCTTCATAAGCAACCTGCTACCCCAAACTGTCTTCTGATTTTTTTCACCCAGAGTGGGCACTGAAATCAACTTTTGTTTCTCTTCTTCCTTCATCCGTAGCTTAATCCATAGGCAACTTATAGCTGTTTCCCTTAATTCTTGTTGAATGTACATTTTTTTCCATTTTTATTCCCATTGCTGCTACTGGTTCCCAGAGCTCCATATTCATGGGTCTTTAGAGGTAAGAATGTTATTATTGAAAAAAATGCAAGATAAATGTATGAAGAAGAGATTCTGACATTATCATTGTCAATCTAAGAATTTAAATCAGTTCTTTGGAACAATTTGGACCTTTTGGTGGTTGTAACATTACTTGACCTAGATGAAGTCTCTGTCTTGCTAAGTCCTAGTTTCTTTATCTTTGAAAGATAATGAAGGGTTTCAACTAGAGTCTAGTCAGTAGATCATTTATAAAGTTTCTCTCAGCTCTAAAATTCTCTGACTGCTATTGATGTTTATGCTTTAGTAAAAAACTTTTTACTTAATCCCTTATGTTTACCTTCTGATATTTGACGATCTTTTTAAGCACATCTAGTTTGCTTTTAAGGGAAAATATAAAGATAATGGGAAAATATAGAGATAAAAGGAAAAGTGTGTGATGCACGATTGATTTAAGTCTGAGGTTGAGGGCTAGCTGCACACATGAAGACAGAGTTAGAGGAGTTTTGGACAGCTCCCATTTTTACCTCCCATGAAGTGCCAGTAACTTAAGTTATCCCAAACCTCAATACATTGGCATTTTGTGCATTAGAGGATGTTTAGCAACATCCCTTACACTCATTAGAGGCCCATAGCAGTCCTTGGGTATGACAACCAAACATGCCTCAGTGTAATTGAGCCATAAGTCTCATACAGAAGCATCTTACAACAAGAAAAGTCGCCCTGTTGCTGTCTTTCCACCCGCTTCTATTAGCCTCCCTTGTACATTCACCTTTATTCCTTCTGGGGTTTTGCTGTCTTGTTGCTATGCCTGGAAATACTCAAGATGCTGCTGAAGGCTGAGAAGCATTTCAGAGGCAATATAATAATAATCTTAATAACTCACATTAATCCAGCCTTTGATGTGTGCCAGGCACAGTTCTAAATGCTTTATGTGGATGATCTCATTTAATCTTTGTTAAGGATCCCACAAAAGAGAAATTTCTATTACTTTCATTTTAGAAATATGGTGACTGAAGCAGGTAAAATAATATGCCCGGATTCTCTTGAGTGTAGGGTGGTAGCACTTGGATTGTGTTGAGTGTTTTACTCCTGAGACCATCATCTGAACCTCCACACTAAACTGCCATGCACGAATGGGATCTTTGTGTAACAGTGTGGGGAAGATCTTAATTATGCTCTCACTCAATTGTAGAAATGAGTCTACCTTTAGGAAGGAATCTAGCGACTATAATTGAAAGTTGTATTCAGTTGAAATAATGGATTTTGTTTCCGTCTTTAAAATGTTGCCTTCTTCTCTTTCTTACCCAGAAGTAGCTGGAAAGCGTATGTAAAGAGGGGTGGGGCAGGGGTGGGTAATGAAAGGAGGGATGGGCAGGGAAATGCACAGCGGTGAAAGGAACCGAACAGTGAATAAGACATTTCCTTTTCTGTTAGCTACATCTTGCCATGAATCCTCCCTGCAATATGTCCTCTGTCAACAAAATTAAAGTTATCCATTCTCTTCCTATTCTTCTTGCTCTGCCCTTTCTGCATACTCTTGATTTATTTTTAAAGTAGTAGAAAAGGCTACATATTTTGACTCAAAAAATATAAATGAAATGTTAATGGCTATCAGAAAGGTTAATTGGTAGCAATGGGCTTCAATATAGTTGGAATCAGAAAGACTACCTTGTTGCATACCTGTAATCCAGGTAGGAAGATTGCAAATTCAAGCCCAGCCTGGGCAACTTAGCAAAATCCTATCTTAAAAAAGGGGGTGTATGGTGGGAATGAGGCTCAGTGTGAAGGCCCTGGGATCAGTTCTCAGTAATGTGTTAGGACACACACACACACACACACACACACACACACACACACACACACACACACGGAGGAAGGACTATCTCAACATTCACTAGCAAGCTTGAAAATCCAAGACCAACCTAGGAAGGTTGTCTGTTTTCTTTAAGAACATAGATCGACAAAGTCACAGGTTTGCTACCTGCCAGTGAAGAAATGGTAAAACTATGACCTTGAATACCTCATGATTTGGTTAGCATGGTGGCTCTCAAGCTGTCCTCTAGATTGGGGTCTGCGAATTTGCATTTCTAATTGGTTTTCAGGTGATACTGATACTACTCATCTGGGGACCACCATTTGAAAAATTACTGGATTAAGACCTAGATAACAAAAATAAAGCTCAAATCTGGTTATCCTTCAGAGAAGCAATATCTTGCTTTAAGGTAAATTTTTGGATGAATGAGAATCAAGGAATGGAGTAAGATTGAAATAACAATACCTACGAACTGAACAATGAGCTGACATCTAAACTTTACCTCCTATGTTGATTTCTGAGACAGAACTTTTAGTTTTCTGAGTTTGTACTTTTAGGTTGGATTAATTCCAGACCTTAGCTCTTGTCATGTTCTCTGTCTTTTCCCACCTCCACTTGTTCTGTCTTTACCCACCTTGATTTGCATGATGAATTTCCTCATTATTCACAGGAGACTCAAAGTCAAAGTCCTTTGATACCTTGTTTAGCATCAGATAAATTCTGATGAGTCTGTGTAAGGTTAAGAAAAGTGGGGAGAGGAAAGGGAATAAAATGAATCCAGATAAAAACTCCTTAAAATAAATATAAACATTATGTACTCCAAACATGTATGAATAAAAAAAGAAGAAAGATGTGTATCCATATCTCTAACTTTTGTTTCATGTGCAATTGCTTTGTGTCTTTTTCCTTTCAGAAGCACATTGGCACAATGGAGAAATTCACCAAAAATTCAAGTATGCACCTGTTGTAGTTTATATCTGGATATCTCCTCAAAACTTTATGTGCTCAAAGGCAAGGCTTATAAAGGATGAGTGAATCACAGGGGAATTATAACTAAATGCGATGGTAGGAGGTGGGGCCTGGGGAGAATGACTTGGTATGGTATGTCTCTCCCAGGTTCCTCTTTTTCTCTCTCTACTTCCTGGTTGCTATGAGTTGAACAGTTTTACTCTGTCCAGGCCCTTCTACCAAGCCACCAACCATGCAAAGACTGAAACCACTAAAACATGAGCCCAAATAACCTTCTTTTCCTTTAAGTTGTGGTTATTGGGTATTGTGTCTTAGCAACAAGAAAACCACTAAGACAGCACAGGTTG